CTCACCAGCCGCGTGCGCACGGGCCATTCGTTTGTCGACTCCTCTCCCCCGCGCCGCACCGCTACCGGCTCGCGCTCTCCCTCTCCCTCCTCCTCGGTCGTGCGCACCCGCCAAAAGCTGCGCTCCAAGCCCTTGTCAGCGGAGACACTCGAGCCTTCCAACCCCGACTACTTGCTCCAGAAGCACAAGCTGGACCATCTCGCGGCCTTCCTCGGCGCCACGCTCGATTCCCTCACCGAGACAATGCAAGCCTGGACCGCCGTCGCACGACAGCAGAGCCACTTTGCAGCGCTGGTCGCACAAGCCGGCACCTCCGCTTCATTAGCAAGGTCGAAATGCGCGCGCGCCGCGCGCACCACGGCGGCGTGCGCCGCCGAGATCGAGTCGACGGCCATGAAGGCGACGGTGGTGCCGGAGGCGATGGAACAGCTGACGCTGTTTCTGGAGCACGTGCAGGCGCTCCAAGAACGGTATCGCGACGTGCGGAAGATGAAGCGCGAGTACGACGCGTGCGCGGCGCGGCTGCGCGCCGCGCAGGCAAAGCTCAGCAGTGGCGGCGAGGCGGTGGCGAGGGCGCAGGCCAAGTTTGATAGGGGCGAGGAGGTGTACGAGGGCATGGTGAAACGGATGGCGGAGAGGATGGCAGAGGCGAATGGAAGGACACCGGAAGTGGTGAGTACCGTGCACTACTTGTACTGGCTGCTGCAGGAAAGAGCGACGACTAAGCTGATGGAGAGCACCGAGGTAGAGATGAGCGCGGCGAACGCGGCGGAACCGGCGCTTTGTTATGTTACTTTTTGTAAGGGACTGCGGTCGCCGTCTTCGGTGTTTCGTGCGTTGGAAGGGTCGTCGGAATCGGCAAGAAGACGACGGTGACGGACAGCTCTCTGTGTATAGGATATTTGTATTGAAGGCTAGCAAGGCTCTACCGTATGGGGCTCTACCGTACGGGGCTCTATCGTACGGGGCTCTACCGTACGGGGCTTGCGAAGTGCGAGTAATTTGAGGAACAAAAAGGCCGGAGTGGCGGTGCTGCGGGGAGGGTGCTGCGGGGGGGACTATGGTAGGTAAGGTCAGAGGCGGTGTGGGGAGTGCATCGTCTGATATCATCTCAGCCGTCCCCTGGTGTTGTTGGAACGGACGCTCCTGTAGGCGCAGTTTTGCCAAGCGAGCACGATTGGTTGCTGTCCCAAACGACCGTGCTGATTGGGCTCCCGGCGCGGAGCATAAAGTATGATATTGCAGACACGTGGCGCAGGGCGTCTCCATCAATGGATTCGCGTGGACACGTATCCAACGTGTAATATGTGTCATAGCTGTGCCCCTGTCTTGCGGGTCCACAACGGGTGCTCTGAAAATAGGTTACTTTTTGTTCATTATTCATGTACTGTATTGTATTCAGTCTTTGGCTTCGATATCAACAGCAACAACAACGACCGTTGCGCAACGCTCCCTTCGCATCCCAGTCATCCGCTGTAAGGCCCACCCCAGTCCTAGACTCGTTTCCCCACCATCTCTCCTTGAATCGTTTCTATCTCTCTGACGTAGCGAATCCCTCAACCGATTCCTTCCCACCCTCGATCCCCCGTCCTTGCCGCTCCGTGCCTTTTCCTCTCTGCCCCGTCGCTTCTCCGCTCGTCCCCGTTCGTCCCCACTCAGCTCTGAGATCAAACATGGCGCCGGGCGGTATGCTTCTGTTTAATGTCGACGATGGGTATCTTGAAGGTATTCTGCGCGGATATCGTTCGGTACGAACACATACCTTGTCTACAATTCCACGTCTGCATCCTCCTCCTCCGACCGAATCCTAACCTTTCTTCTACCTCTTGCGTCACTTCCAATGCTGCTTAGGGCTTTCTTTCCTCATCCGACTTCGTCGCCCTGACCCAATGCGAGTCACTCGACGATGTCAGGATGCATCTCACGGTACGTTTCCGTCTGCCAATTTTAATTACGCAGCACACCCACATTGCTCAACGGAGCTATGACACCCGCGGAAGAACGCCTCCTCCTCTTTCATCCAGTCTAACCAAACTGTCCCACCATTCCCGTCCCGCCAGGCCACCGACTATGGAAATTTCCTGCAAAACGAGCCCACCCCGCTCTCCACCAAAACCATCGCTGAGCACGCCACCAAGAAGGTCGTCGACGAGTTCCGTTTCATCCGTGCGCAAGCCACGGGTACCCTTGGCCGCTTTCTCGACTTCCTGACCTACCCCTACATGATTGACAACCTCATCCTGCTCATCACGGGCACCCTCCACGACCGCGACATCTCCGAGCTCATCGACAAGTGCCACCCGCTCGGCCTCTTCGACTCCATGGCCTCGCTCTGCATCGCCTCCACCCCCGAGGAGCTCTACCGCGAGATTGTCGTCGACACCCCGCTCGCCCCGTACTTTGTCGAGTGCGTGTCGCTGGAAGATCTTACCGACATCAACATTGAAATCATCCGCAACACCTTGTACAAGGCTTACTTGCAGGACTTTTACGCTTACTGCATCAAGATGGGCGGAGCCACCGCCGAACTCATGGGTGAGATTCTCAAGTTTGAGGCTGACCGACGCGCCATTAACATCACCATCAACTCGTTCGGTACTGAGCTGACCAAGCACGAGCGCGAGAAGCTGTATCCTACTATTGGCACCCTGTTTCCGGAGGGTATCGTAAGACTTGCTCGTGCGGATCACCCCCAGGCGGTCGCTTCCGCCATCGAGCCGTACAGCACGTACAGGAAGCTCTTCCAAACGGCCGCGGATAATATTGATAAGAGCTTGGAGGACGCGTTTTTTGAACACGAAGTGCATTTGTGCAAGCTGACCTTCGAGATGCAGTTCCATTATGCCATCTTTTACGCCTATCTCAGGCTCAAGGAGCAGGAAGTCAGGAACATATTGTGGATTTCGGAGGTACGCTTCTGCAACGGCTTGGGTTGTCTGATCCATACTCTCATCACTCTCCCCCTATGGGTGTCTCATTTCACTAACACATGCATGCGATTTTTCTTGTCTGTTGCTCGATACAGTGTATTTCACAAAAGCAAAAGCGAAGAATTAACAATTTTGTGACGTCGGCATTCTCCTAGATGATTGCACAGCACATCTGGACGAGTGTTCTCGACTCCACTCTGACGCCACAGGTTTCCATCGAGACTTGCAAGTTGCAGCGGAATAGCGACGTGCACACGGTATACTCCTAACTTTTTTCAATGATAGTGACCTACAAAAGAATATATCTCAAATTACACGAGCTTTCGTTTTACGATGACATGAGAAAACCCTGCCCTCTCTTCTATACACAATCAACGTTACACCACGTCAAGAGCAAGCTACTTGCAAACACAGCACGGACACAGCCACCACAACACAATCCCCAGCAGACGGCCCCTCGATTACCCACCATCCGCATCCGCAGCTTTCGACCGCCCTACGTCCTCCGTCACGCCATTCCCTTGGTGCCCGTTAACCGCCGCGACCCGCCCGCTCGTCAGCGTAGTGGTCTCCTCCGGGTCCCCCTCGCTAGGGTGTACGACACCGTTCAGGTCGGCATGGCCATTCGGACGCCCGCCATTCACGTCCTCGTCCGCCGTCTCGTCCGCCGGCTCGTCCTCCTCCCCCGATTGCGCGTCCATCGTCGGGCGGGCTTCATTACGATAGTGCGCCTTCCTCCTCGCCGCGAAGATCTCCTTACTCCTGGGCGAGCTTCCCCCGGACGAGAAGGCGCCCTCGTCGATGTGGACCGAGCGGCCGCCGCTGCCAACGCTGGACGCGCCGTCCGACGACGCGCCGCGCATCGAGTCCTCCAATGTGCCGAAGCCGTGCAGCTCGTCGCCCGGCATGAAGAACGGCGACTCCGGCGGACTCTGGTGCGCAGACCCCGACGTCGACGACCCCGCCTCCGACACCACGTACGGCGTCTTGGGCTCGTCGATCTTCATGCGTGGCCCGGCCCGCTCCATCTCCTGCGCGTTCGAGATGAGGTTGTCCTCGTCCCATTGCAGGCGCGACTTCTTCTTGCTCGTCTCCGACAGCGCGCCGGCGTCCGACGGCTTGGACGCCGACGTGCCCGGTGGCGACGGCGGCGGCGGCGGTGACGGCTCTGACATTGCGAGTGCGCGCGGGGGTGATGGACCGAGCGGTGGTTCCGGAGGCGGGCGTGCCGCAAAACTCGCAACTCGGAAGCCGTGGAGCGGGTTGCGCGGGAGGCGAAGTGGTGAGGGTGGTACTGTAGGTACGCACGGCGGACGTTGGCGGGAGATACCGTACACGAAGTGAGTTTAACTGTGTGGAAGGTGCCACGCACCGCGCGTCCACGTGTACAGTCGCGTGTCCCGTCGTTGGGGCCCGTTATGCGTTTACACTGCCTTTCGCATTGCGGCATCCACGCTGCAGCTGCGCTCGGGCGCCCGTCGCACGCGCCCGCCAAGCAGAGTCTCTGCCGTCAGATGCGCCGGGAGCGCGCTAGCCGGACGCGTGTCGCGCCGGAGGTTCTTCTGCCGCGAGCGCACCTTGCGCTTCTTCTTCACGCCCCAGCTCGCCGTCCACGTGCGCTGCGCGGGGCGCGCGGCCGCGCCGTCCTGAGCGACCGCGGCCGCGTTTGCCGCGACCGCCTCTTCTGCCTCCTTCGCCTCCTTTTCCATGGCGGCCTCCTTCGCCTCCTTCGCCTCCTTTTCCATGGCGGCCTCCTTCGCCTCCTTCCTGGCGCGCTTGCGTTTTCTCCCCTTCCCGGCACGGCGCGCGCCGCCGATCAGCCCGGCCCTGGACTCCATCTCCTCCGCCTCGCTAAGCGCGTCCTCCTCTGCGCCGGCGCGCTCCTTCCTCATGGCTGCGGCGAGGCGTCGCTGCGCCTCGGTGGCTGCCGCCGCTCCCGGCGGCGCGGCGCCGAGCCCCATCCTTCGGTCCGCACAGCACACGTACACGTCGTCGCGCGTCAGTCTCTTCGCCGCGCCGTCGCGCACCGCCGCTCGCGCACCGCCGCTCGCGCGCCGCGCGCATACGAAGCTTACCGTGCCGGCCGCCGCGCAGGCAGCGGCGCCGCCTCGCGCGCGCCATCGCCCGAACCCGCCCCGTCGTCGTACCCCGCGTCGGCTAGTAGCGCGCACACGCTCGCGCGTACGCTTGCGTCTAGGACGGGCGTTGAGGAAGACATGGCGTGTTGTGGCGGTTCGGGCGCGTTGAGGGACGCAGAAACGCGGCTTAACGTAGCTCGACCACGGCGAGTGATTAGTGCTGTACTACTGTAGGGAATCCGAACTCTATTTTTCTTCTTTGCCAAGTAACATGTACACGTGTAGTCTGTACACGTGGCTGAAGCGAGGCGAGGGTGTCATTGCTGGCACATCGCGCATGCGTCTCCTTGATCCTTCATGCGGCGTGTCACCTCAGCTCCTTTAAGACAGCCCGTCCATGCTGTCTTAAAGGAGCCCCTGAGAGCCCAGCGTTCCGCAGCCCGTCCGCCTTCCCGCCTCTCCGTCGCCACCCGCAACTGTCGCCACCCGCAACCGCCCCCACCTCCGCCATGTCGACGGCGCGCTGCCCCCTGTGCCGCAAGCGCTACACGCTCTCCTTCCTCCCGCTGCACGCGTCCTCGTGCACCCCGCGTCCAATCTCCAAGCCCCGCCGCCGCCCCCGAACCCCACCACCATGTCGGGATCAGGTTTCTGTGTGACAAATGCAGATTGTTTCCCCTGAGACATACGCGGTTTATATCCGCTAGGAGGAGCCGGGCGACGCCCATTCAAATCCTTTCCCCAGCAGCGGGTTGCCGTATGGCCTGTATGACCGCAGTTCGTGCATTTGT